CAGGGGTTCTTTTTTCTTTTAGTATGTAAAAGTAATTTTTCTCAAGTTCCCATTGGCTGGGAAAAATCTAGTGCTACTTCTGGTTACCTCTTACTATGAATCTCTAGTTCCCCGATATTCTTAATTACCCTAGGGGCTGAGATTCCTCACTCCATGCACTTCTCTCTTCATTTGCTCTACCATTAGGACTCTTTTTTTTTTATTATTACAAATGACAGATACACCGAGAAAGGGATTCACTAGTTCACAGAGCCAGGAAGGCTGGGGTAGCCCAGGGAAGAGTGGGAACCAAGGCCTCAAGACTTTCTCATTCCCATCTGCCCGGCTTCCTTCCCTCCCTTTACAGAACGGCTTTCTCCATGAGGCTGAGTCGAAGGCTACCTGCAACCCCAGCCCTCCACTTTCACAACTCTCCATGAAGGGTGACAACATAGAACCATCCCTCTAAGTCCAATTGCAACAATTCTGGCAAAGGACTTTGGCCCAGCCTAGGCAACATAGTGGGATCCCGTCTCAAGAAAAAAAAAATGAGCCAGGTATGGTGGTGCATGCCTATAGCCCAAGCAACTACAGAAGTAAAGGCAGTAGGATTCCTTGAACCTGGGAGGTCAAGAGCCCATACTTGGTTCAGTTCATGTATGCCAAGGAATATGACACTGTCATTGGCCAGCCTGGGTCTAACTGTCATGGGGGAGGAATCTGGGGCACTGTGATTAATGACTACCAGGACCACATGAAGTAGAAGTAATTCCCCAAATGTAAAGGTGCTATTACCAGAAAAGAGGCAGACAGAAGCAAGCACTTTCACTGTTTACTGCCTGCTGCAAGCTTGGCTCAAACAGGTCCTTCCCCACTCCCTAAAGCGTCACCAGTATAAGGCCATTTTGTGAGACAGGGCTGTCAGGAAGGTTGAGGACAGCAAAAAACAGTTACAGCACAGCAACAACAAGCACAGCACTGTATAGATAGTCATTGAAAACAGAACATTTGATATTTCAAAGTTCCTAAGCCCAGTCCACCGGCCTCTCACTGGTGCTCTTCTGGGTCAGCTGACATTGTGCCTGCCCTCCCTTACCAAATCGTTCTCCTCCACCTCTCCTTTCTCCAAGTGCCCAAGGATCCTAAACGTCATCTTACCTGAATCTCCATGGGACAAATGCTATTTTATTGTGCACAGCCACTGAGTTCTTTTTTCCTCTTCTTCTAGACCTGTATTTCACAGCCCCCAAAACTATTAAGATGTTTTCCTAGGCTGGGCGTGGTGGCTCATGCCTATAATCCCAGCACTTTGGGAGGCTGAGATGGACAGGTCACCTGAGGTCAGAAGCTCAAGATCAGCCTGGCCAACACTATGAAACCCCTTCTCTACTAAAAATACAAAAATTAGCCGGGTGTGGTGGCATGCGCCTATAATCCCAGCTACTGGGGAGGCTGAGGCAGGAGAATTGCATAAACCCGGGAGGTGGAGGTTGCAGTGAGCCGAGATTGAGCCATTACACTCCAGTCTGGGCAACAAGAGCAAAACTTCATCTCAAAAAAAAAAAAAAAGGATGTTTTCCTGAACAAGACAACCAATTTTTTCCTTAGCAAGCATCCTTCCATCCTCTCAGAACAATAGTTCAGTCTGCTGCTAGCTTCTGAATTAAGTTTCTTCTCCCTGTTGCATGTGTATTTATGCATAGAAAACATGACTTCCCCCAATACAATATAGCATAATATTAAGATTAGTAAGATGTTACCTCTATGTAGTGGGATCATGGGTAATTTTTTACAGTGTTTTAAACATTTATTAATTTCATTAGGCAGGGGTTTCCCTCTCCCTAATTTTTGGAGCCCTATCATGTGTAATTTTTATGAGTTTTGTTGGTTTTATCATTTCTTTCTTTTCTTTTTTTGCTTATTTCTGTTTCTACAATGAACAAGTGAAAATGGTACAAGGCAAGAAAGGAGTAAAGAACAGAACCTGCTGCTTAAGTCCCTTTTATCAAGAAATGCAAAAGCCTTCCCCAAAGGCTTTTTGACCTCCAGCCTTCAGCCTGATCCTCATTGGATAGACTGTGTCACATGACCACACAGCCTCAAGGGAGAATGGAAAAGAGAGGATTTAGTGTTTCCAGCCCTTACAGTCTCATGAAAGAAATGTGACTACAGAGAAGGGGCTTGGGTATGATGATGGGTCCAGCTAACCAACAGTGTCTGCAACTGCACAGCTAGGATACAAGGTGGAGAGAGAGGGCACTGTGCAATTTTTCTCAGTCTAGGGTGGTCATCATTGTTTTGGTGTATGACCCTAGGTATCCAAAAGAGACTCCTGACAATAAAACTTAGAGCTCTGCGTTCTTGTGAAGGCTTATCTCAGGCATCAAAGTAAACCTTACCCTGTCTGTTAGTACTTGGTAGCAGTAGCAATTATTATGATTATTTACAAAGTACTTTTTAAAAATTTAGTAGAATATTGCTATCCCTGTTTCACAGTTGAAAAAGCAAACTCAAGGAGATTATACTGGTAACATATTTGCATTTAAAAGTACACTGAACCCTCATTCCCTCCCATCACATGCCATTCAAGGACTCTAGACTACTGGGCAGAGGAACTGATCCTTTTACCATAAATGGGGCTTCTGGGTCCAAGCTAAAGGCACACTCTCTGCCCAGCTGGTTTTGTCCTGGCTTTTTCTTTTTTTTTCTTTTTTTCTTTTTTTTTTTTTTTACAGGGTCTCAATCTGTCATCCAGGCTGGAGTGCAGCAGCATGATCTCAGCTCGCTGCAGCCTCTGCCTCCCAGGCTCAAGCAATCCTCCCACCTCAGCCTCACGTGTAGTTGGACTACAGGCGCATGCCACCACTCTCCACTAATTTTTGTATTTTTAATGGAGATGGGGTTTCACCATGTTGTCCAGGCTGGCCTTGAACTCCTGGGCTCAAGTGATCTGCTTGCCTCAGCCTCCCAAAGTGCTAGGATTACAAGCGTGAGCCACCACACCTGGCTGTTGCTCTGGATTGTTCTTGAATCATGTCTCTGGTGTGTTGGAAAGACTTCTGACCTGGATCTTAGACCTGGTTTAGTATTCCTCTCATTGCCTGACATGGACTAATCACCATACTCAGTCTGCTTTGTCCACAATTCAGTTCACCACTACTTAGGTTGCAGGAGAGGTTGCTAGATATGAGGCTGTTTTGCTCAGACCCTGGTGCACTATGTATTTGTTTTCAGAAGAAATGTTTTAAGATACAGGAAGAGGAAGCTCGCCCAGGGATGTTTAATAGGATCTTGTAAACATCTGTATTCTAAATAAATAATTGTTAGTGTTTCCACTTTAGGGTTCTTAATTTTAGAGAACCGGAAAGACTGTTCCTGAACTGGAGGTAAGTTCAGAAGTGTATACCAGTGTCACTCCAGGCTGGATTAGCAGATGTAGTTAGCAGCCTTTCCAATATCCATCTTTCCCTCTTCCTTACCAACAGAACCCTAATTTTGCTCAAGGCAGTACTATGCTCATTTACAAATGCCCCAATTCCCAGACTCCCTTGCAGCTAGAAGTGGCCATGTGACCCACTTTGACCAATGTGATGTAGGTGGAAGTTGCTAGGTGGGGGCTTCCAGGAAATCTTCTTAGAGAGGAAAGTCTTAGCTGGCATTTGCCCTATGCTTTCCCTCCCTGTTTCTTTTCATTTTGTTTGAAATGCAGATGCAGTGTACAGGTATCCATGAATACAAAAGCTGTGTACTAAAGATAGTAAAATGGGAAGATGGAATGACCCCAGCTCCTTGACAACATTAGGGAGCTACTCTAACAGCCCTGGATTACCTACCTGGTAACGTCTTACGTAAAAACAATCAAGAAAACAAAGAAACGGCTGGGTGTAGTGGCTCACACCTATAATTCCAGCACTTTGAGAGGCTGAGGCGGGTGGATCACTTGAGGCCAGGAGTTTGAGACCAGCCTGGCCAACATGGCGAAAGCCCATCTGTACTAAAAATACAAAAATTAACTGGGTGTGGTGGTGCATACCTGTAAGCCCAGCTACTTAGCAGGCTAAGTCAGGAGAATCGCTTGAACCTGAGAGGCAGAGGTTGCAGTGAGCCAAGATCATACCACTGTACTCTAGCCTGGGCAACACAGTGAGACTCTGTCTCAAAAAAAAAAAAAAAGAAAGAAAGAAAGAAAAGAAAAGAGAACAAAGAAACAAGCCTATTTGCTTAATCCATTGTAATCAAGTTACTCTTCCATGCAATCAAACAGAATCTTAACTGATAGACTGTTAAAATGGTGTCTTAGTCTGTTTGGCTGCTATAACAAAATATCTTAGACTGGGCAATTTGTAAACAACATACATTTACTGCTCGCAGTTCTGGAGGCTGGGAACTCCAAGATCAAGACACCAGCAGACCATGGTGAACCCTCAATCTGGTGAGGGTCCATTCCTCCCGGGTGCCTTCTATGTATCCTCACATGACAGAATGGCAAACAAGCTTGCTCAGGCCTCTTTTATAAGGCAGTAATCCCATTCATGAGGGTGGGGCCCTCATAACCTAGTCAGCTCCCAAAAGCCTCACCTCTTAATATCATCACCTTAGGGATTAAGTTTCAACATATGAATTTTGTCAGGGGTGGGGGATGGGGGTGGGCGGGGGGACAGGACACATTCAGGCCATAGCAGACATCTAGTGTGCTATGATAGTAACTGGATGCGAATTGACTGTAGAGTTTGTTAGAACAGTGCTGCTCCAACTTCCATGTGCATATAAACCACTTGAGAGCCTTGTTAAAAATGAAGGTTCTGATTCACTGGGTCTGGAATGGGGTTTGAGATTCTGCATTTTTCACCAGCTTAAAGCTAATGCTGATGAGGCTGGTCTTGGACCACACTTTGAGTAGCAAGAATTTAGAAAATGGCAGCTCTTCTGGTCAGTCAGCCCATACCATATAGGAGCCACTTTGTTTCTCTTTGATATGTTTCTTATTTGGTTGAAAACCTGCAGAGAACTCACTCAGTGCATCTTCAACAAAAAGTTAAGGTTTTATTTAGAATATCATTTTAGAGACAAAAAGTAGTTCACTTTATTTAGCAAAATAAACTTAACCAATGCATTTAAACACAGTAAATTCAAGACCTTTGGTGGTTTTTTTTCTTAGATCCTTGCTTTTTTGCCAGTTGGAGTTTCTGTCTTCTAGCCTAACAGGCTTCTTTCCAAGTTAATGCAGCTATATTCCAAGGAAGTGTTTTATGAAATCTGAATACTCAAACACCCCTTCTGTATTTTAACTCAACCATCATTGTATTAGATGAAACATAAGGAAAGTGACTTAGGGAAGTAAGTGCAGAAGGAAATGTGTTCCCTTCTCCCTCATATTATCTTTTCAACAGAGGCCTGGATTGCTAAATGGATTATGAAAGCAAATTGTTACCGGGAGGTGATGGTCAAAAGCAAACTTAGATGGTTTTCACACCATCTGTCATCATGACTCAAAGGGAAATGCAAATCACACCATTTTTCCAGTGAAGCCACTGCTTTACACAGAAGATATGTGTAGCTTCCTATTGTTATTTTCTTTTCTAACTATGTACATTTAGAAAAAAATACAACACTGTGTTAAATAGCAGGACAGCTAGCAACGGAACATACAACACTATGCTGAAAAACCACAACAGCTTGGTTAAGCAGAGGAGAGAAACAGCAGATGGCCTTCATGGAGTGAAGCTGTCAGTGCCTGCCATCTCCTTAGTCTGTGACGGATCTGCACTCTGAGGGCAGGCCTTCTGAGCGCCGCCACTTCGCCAGGCGCTGCTTAAACCATTTCTGGAAGAGAGAAATGAGCAAAAATATTTGTCACACACAGAAAAACTGAAATGCCTGTTCCCTTTCTAAAAGGTAGCCTCTGTGGCACAAGTGGAAAGGAGAGAATCAGGGGACGTGTCCATAGGGATGGCTCTCACCATGACACCTTTCCTGCCTCAGGACCTCTGCACGTGCTATATTATGTTTAGAATGTTCTCTCTTTATTCTTTATCTGATGATCTCCCTGTCATCCTCACATCTCAGCTTAAACAGGACCTTCTCAATGAAGTCTTCCCTGATCACTCTGTCTAAAGTGGGTTTCCCACGCATCTCCTCACTTCCCAATTTAGTATTTTGTTACTTTCACAGAACTTTTAGCATCTGTCATGATTTACTTGTGTATTTACTTATTTTTAATCTACATTCCCTTCTAGAATGTAAGCTCCATGAAAGCAGAGACTGTATTCATCCTATCACCACTGCATCCTTAGCCCCTAGTACAAAGGTTTAAGAGTTAGAAATTAATCAATATTTGCTGAATAAATAAAAGAAGTTAAAGCATATCCTTAATGCCCCAGATAGATCTCTATGGCTGCTATATTTCATCAATGTATGCTCAGCTCACCAAAGGCCTTCCTCATTGGTAGAAGTTAGTAAGAATTTGTTGAATAAGATTAATAGTTAACTGAGCACTGCACAACCTCAGAGCACTCCTTGCGGATGCCTGGAGTAGGCCAGCCCAATCTATCCTGCTCCAGGGCCACTGAGCAGTGAGAGAAGCTAAAGTGGGTCTACCACTTTGCTCAGAATCTCTCAGCTCCATATGACCCAAATATTCACACCTTACGGAAGTGACCACGGATGTACAGAAGGCCCCAGATAGGATGTTTCTAGACATGGCATCATATGAGGCCTAGAACATGCCTATATGTTGTAAGGCAGTGTGGTATACTCTTGAGAAGTCACTGGCTGCCTTTATCTTGCTAACTGGGGTGGTACAGAGTTCCCCAAAGAGAAGAACAGGAGAACCATGCTGGGGATAGGGCCAGGGTCTGGACCAGGTTGGTCAAAAGGAAACTGGGAATAAAAAAAAGAAAGCAAAACAACTTTGAAGAGAGACTAGTGAGGAAACAGATGAGCAAGCATTGACCTACATTGGAAAGGATGAGGAGAGAGCTCTATGGGAAGTCAGCACCTCCCCCAAGCTCTGTTCTCCTGTGCTTCCCAACCATTCACATGTCATGGAGTACATTGAGAAGGATGATATTTGTGTGTCACTGGTGTGTAGGCAGGCTGTGTGGTAGGTGACCCCCCAGGGCTCTGCAGTCCTGGGCTTTGCCAACAGGAAGCTCTAGAGTAACTAATTGGTTATGAGAACTTGAGGAAGTCCCTAAATAGAGCACCAGTCATCTGTAAATTAAAAGGTAAGCTTAGGGTGTTTCTACTGTCCCTTCTGGTATTTCTGTAATTCACCTGTTCTAGGGGTAAGGGGACGAGAAACAGGAAGAAAGCAGAAAGAGCACAGCTGTGAGATGCCAGATCTGGGATGTGCTGATGGAGATATCGGGATAGTGGGAAAGCTCTAGAGGGCTCCCCACATAGCATGGGCTAATGCCTATCCAGATACTCAGAATGAACAGGATAGGCTCTAGGAAGCTGAAAGGGAATTCAGTATAAGCCCAAGATCAGAAGAAAATGTGAGAACCACAGGGGGAGAAGGAGCAAGGCCTAGAGGAGAGGCTGTTGAACTTGAATGGGGGTAAGGCTCTGCAGGACTGTTTTGGGCTCCACATCAATGCTAAGGTGGCTGAACAGCATGGGAATACACCTACACCTCACCCACCTGTACAGCAGAGTTTACACACTGAACTGCCTCACACAGTTGTCAAGATCTTACATACCTTTACACTGGGGTGGCAGTAGAGAAAAGTAATCTAAAGACAAGGACAGCAGACTATCATGGGGAAAGACTTCTCTTTGGGGGCTACTTTCTGGGTGCCATATTTTGCTCCTAGGGATCACTACCCTTCATGAGAAGAGAGAACTCATGCAACTTTGGCAGCTTCAATTGAAATTATACTGCTAAGAGTGGGCCCATTTTCTTCTGTAACCTGTGTGCATGTGTTTAGTTAACTCTGGATTCTGGTATGAGAGCAGCAAGGTTCCAGTTTCATTAATGAGGTAGCACTGTGGGGGGTTTCAAGGATACAAGGTCTGATTAAATAGGATTTCCAGTTACTAGAGCTGAATAAATGGCAGCATTGTAAAGACTGACTAATTAAAATCTGGAGGAGGAAAATCTCACTTTCTATCAGATTTCATTTAAGACAAAATGGTTGAGCTGGTCTCATTTAAAAAAGCCACCCACATCTTTACACTATGTAATGAAGCAGAATATTGATGGACCGTTACTGAAAATAACTTCAGCAGGGACATTTGTGGTTTTGTGAGTTGGTACCCAAATGCTTAACAAATTGAGCCCTAACATTGGGGGATGGGAGGAGGTTCAAGAAAAGCTCAATGATTTTTTGAAGACGCATATTTTAAATCAAGTATATATAAAATAATTTGGCAAAACCGGTTGCAATCCAACAGAAATCATTAAATACCTTGCTTGCTTTTTTCCCTTTAGAGTTGTGTCTTATCAATCTCACTCACATCAGTGCTAATTTTCCACCTGGCTTTATCCTTCTCTTCTTTGTTTCAGTCATCTACTGGGAAAGACATTCATCCCTTGCTTGCTTATAAATGAATGCCCTCATTACCCTTGCCCATTGATGGAGATTTATTTACTCTGAGTAAACAGATGATAATTAGACACTGTGATGGGAAGGGGCTGGGGCAAAGAAACATTGTTCCTGTCCTTTTCTCTAGCAACTAACATTTCATTCTTTTCAGAAAGAGACCTTTAGAGGTCTTTATTCCACTGATAAAACATCCAGTGACTAAAACCACTGGGTTCTGGGAACAAGCTCAGGACATCTAGAGGAGATAAAAATACTTGGAGACCTCCCTAAGAACCAATTCCAGTTACATTGTGCTTGAATTGGAGAGAGAGAGAGAGAGAGAGAGAGAGAGAGAGAGAGAGAGAGAGAGTGTGTGATAATAGAAAACACCAGATCATCCCAACCTCCCAGGGGGCTAAGGAAGGAGCTTTCCCAGCCTCTTCTAACACTGACTTCAAAATAAAAGACATAAGGCTGGGATTCTGTAAGTTTTCATGTAATGTAAATCTAGGAGATATTTAGATTACCGTTATGAGAAAAACCCATTCTAACATCCCAGTAAATGCAACTTAGAAAGTTATTTCAATTACAGCGCCCTTCACTTTACTTTGAGTTCTTATGGGTGCCACCTCCACCCCCACAGAGAATTTTGTCCTGAAGTGGGACAGTTATAAAGAGGTCAGCAAATCTCCCAAGACAGAGAATGTTTCAACTTCTTAGTCCCTCTTGTCCCTGCCCAAGTATCAGCCCTGTGAATCAGTTCTGGTAACAATCTTGCAAGAGCACTGGGCAGCTCAGGCTTATTTTTCTTGTACTGAAGTATTGCTTGTTCTAGGAAAGTTAAGAATATGATTCCATTTCTGGAGGTGGGTGGTGTTGGGGTGGGTTGAGGACTTAGGCATATGAAACAAATGTTAGTTTGGCTTTTGTGACCCTTTCCCATGGAAAGCAGCAACACTAGTAAGAACAGAGACGGGGAGACTGGGTGCGATGGCTCACGCTTGCAATCCCAGCACTTTGGGAGACTAAGGCAAGAGGATTACTTGAGCCCAAGAGTTTGAAACCAGCTCAGGCAACATAGTGAGACCCCCATCTCTGCAAAAAATTTAAAAATTAGCTTAAAAATTAGCCACATGTGGTGGTAGTACATGCCCATAGTCCCAGCTACTTTGGAGGCTGAGGTAGAAGGAATGCCTGAGGCTGGGAAGCCAAGACTGAGGTGAGCCATGGGAGTGCTACTGTACTCCAGCCTGAATGACAGAGTGAGACACTGTCTCCAAAAATAGAAAAAAGAAAGAAAAAGAAAGAAAAAGAAAGAAAGAAAGAAAAAGAAAGAAAGAAAGAAAGAAAGAAAGAAAGAAAGAAAGAAAGAAAGAAAGAAAAGAAAGAGAAAGAAAGAAAGAAAACAAAACAGGGGAAGTATCAATATCAGACACTACTTATATGTAGACCCAGCAGGCCCTGGCCTCCATGGAGTTATTTAAAGGGTCCTTATGAGACCTGCTATAAACAAAAATAATTTTAATGACTGAAAGTTTGTCATTGGGCATACGTCTCCAGAAGACACTTCCTTTTTGTAATATTTTTAAATATTTAATATTTTTATTTTTATTTACTTATTTATTTTGAGACAGGTTCTCCTGTCACCCAGGCTAGGTAGTACAGTGGCATGATCATAGTTCACTGCAGCCTTGAACTCCTGGGCTCAAGGGATTCTCTTGCCTTAGCCTCCAGAGTAACTGGGATTACAGGCACACACCAGCACACCTGGCTGATTTTTTTATTTTCTATTTATTTTTTTTTGGTGGAGATGGACAGCATCTTGTCATATTGCCCAGGCTGGTCTGAAACTCCTAGCCTCAAGCAATCTTCCTGCCTCAGCCTCTCAAAGTGCTGGGATTATAGGTGTGAGCTACTGTGCCCTGCCAGACACTTCCTTTTTCATAGAAGATACTCTTTAAAAATATAAATGTTGTTTGAGAAGATGAAAGAAGAAATCATTCTCATTCACCAGTGCCCATGGGGGTAGTGGGGTGAGAGGGGAAAGAATGGGAAATTGAAAGATGAGACCCAATCCAGTAAAGGCAAGCAGGCAGCCTGTGGTTCCTAGGAAATCTCTTTCTCTGAGCTTGCTAAGTGCTGCCTGTCTCTAAGCTCTGGGGTTCCAGATGCTTCCCTGCAGGTCAAGGCAGGAAGACAGAGGGGCAAGCCAAGCTGTGGTCACCGTAGGGAGGAAGAAGGTGTCGGTCCTGTGGCAGGAAGAGGAAGTCAGGGGCCCTGCTAAGAGGCTGACTCACCCCACATCTACTCATTTTGGGGCTGGGTCTACCACTTGTTTATTTGAGAATGGCAGAGTGGGGGAAATGGGAGGACTGCCTGCGAGGTGCAGAGGAACCTGCTATGCAGAGGTCTGAATTGGCTGACCTCAGTCACAGAAAAAAAGCAGGTGCCCTTTTCTTCTTCCTACCCCTAACCAGATTTTATTTCAATTTTCTAATATCATGTGAATCTTGAGGAAAGGCTGAATATAGCCTGGGAGGACTGTTGCCTAGTGCAGGGGAAAGATAGCACCAAGTGAGTTGTCAGTTCTTTCTTCCTGCTTGTCTAGTGATTTCCATGCCTCCTCTGTGGAGACAGCATAGCATGGTAGTTAAGAGTCTGGGCTTCCAGGGTTCAAATCCTGGTCCTGCTGCCTTCTAGCTGCTGTCTTGGGCAAGTATATTTAATCTTTCTGTGCCTCAGTTGCCTTATCCGGACAAGTGGGCTAATAGTATCTACCCTCACAGTAGTGTTGTGACAAGTAAATGATTTACTACTTGGACAGTGCCTGGAAAAATGCCTGGCAAGTATTAGCCATTACAAAGGTCAATGTGTAATTATGCTGCTTTATAGGTAAGGTGACTGATGGCAACTCGCCAGGCACAATCAGAGGCCGAGAAGGGGTTGGACCTCTTGTTGGTGCTGTGCCCACAATATTTCACAGCCTTGTTTTTAAAAGATAAGTTGTCTCCATGATCACTCCTCTTTTCTAAGCATAGCGTGGGATTTCAAATGATAAAATTTCAGCAGGCTGCCTTCTCAGGAGATACCAAGAAACATGAGCTGTTAGACTTGGGTTACAGTAAATCACCTTCCATTAAGTTCTGGTTTTCGTTGGTCAGACAGCTGTTCCATTTGCTAAAAATAAATATGTTTGCCTTTCTATTTGACCTGTAAATGACAGGATCGTCTATGGACAAGCTCTCCAAAGAGTGCCTCTGGCTTAATTAGTAAAAATAATTTTGGACTTGAGGTCCAGGGTCTTGGTCCTAGGATCTACTGGATCCATTACAAGCTTCTAAACCTCAACTGAGCATGGCTCATGGTGACAGGACAAGTGCCTGATGCTCTGGTATATAAAATAGGAAAAATAAGAACGTCTCTGCTTTAGAGTTGAGGTTAGAAGTGTGAAGTGCTTTGGGGACCCACAGGAGAGATGCTAGATCGGTTCCAAGTAGTCTATCATGCTTAAAGGATTGTCTTTCCATGACCAAAGGGAAAAGAGAAGTTGGAGTTTAGACAGGATTTTAAAAGTCAGCTAAAGGCTCCAACATTACACCTGTGGTGAACAACCACAGGTAGTGTTGCATTCTTTACCTGGCATTTTTCAGGATGATATAGGAGCATTTAAAAAATAGATAAGTCAATGAATGCACTTAGGGGGACATTGGCTGCCGCTCCTGTCAGCTGAAAGGTCAGCTATCTACCGTCTTATAAAACGCCCCGAAAATCCTCTAAACCTTAGAGCTGGGGAATTTTTTTAAAAATCGGAACCACATCTCCCTGGCTCCGTGCAGTGTGAGTTCTGCAGCTCGGGGGACGCTGCAGTGTGATGTGGTGGAGAGAGCAAGCTTCACGGCTCCTGCCATCCTGACAGCGCCCTCCCTCCCGGCCTCAGCCTCCTGGTTCGCCAAACGGAGGACTGAATTTATGGCTAGCTGGTCTCTGGGGAGCCTTCCAGCTCTGACATTCCCGCCTAGAATAGATCTTCCCGAAGGTTTCGCAGACAGACCAGAGGGGACAGAGCCGGGAAGGCGAAACAGGGACAGGCGAGAGACGCTGCTCCCAACTCGCAGAGGGAGAAAGCGTGTATCCCGGGCTGCCGGGGAGAGTGGAAAGGCAAGGACTGGTGACCACGGGGTTTCTACGCAGCTCCCGGGGAACCACGGCTGGATGGGGGTGGCGGGGAGACTGGGCGCCCATGGGAACGTGGAAGCGGGGAGGCGGCGGCGGGAGCCATGCAGGGTCTGGGTCCCCGGATGCAGGCAGAAGCGATGGGAGATCGTGGGGAGGGTAGCCCAGCGGGAGGCACGGACGACCAGGACAGCCCAGCCGCGAGACGGCTCAGCTCGGGCAGGGGTCGGGGCGCGCTGGGCGCGTGTGGGGACGCACCTGGGTCTCCTCCTCGGAAAGGCCGGCCTCGGCCGCGATGAGGCACAGCGTGGTGGAATCCGGGTGTTTGTCGACCTTGTTGAAGTTGTACTCCAGGATCTCCACCTGGTCCTCCGTGGGGCCGGTCGCGGTCTCCGCCGACATGGTCCTTGCGCGCTGCTGGGCGGGGAGAAGCGGCAGCGGTGAGCGAGGCTGGGGGCCGGCGGGACGCAGCAAAGGAAGGCGGTCGCGGCGCCGCCGGGCAGCCCCAGCCCCTGGCCGCCCCCTCCCGCGGTGCCACAGCCGCGCAAGTCCCCGGCGGCAGCAGGCTGAGCGGGGGCTTACGGCTGCCCCCGACCCGGGCCTCCCTCCCCGGACGGAGCGCTGTTGCGGGCTGACAGCAGACCCTGGCGTCCGGCGCCTCCCGCGCCCCGGGGGACCCCTTGCAGCAACGCCCCCTGGATCCCTGCCTGCGACGGGGGCAAGATAGATGACTCCGCGGGTCCTCACCGCCCTCCGGCTCTAAGGAAGGAGTGAAGAGCTAGGGTGATTTTGATAATCCCCTTAAAAGCTTCCTCCCGAAAGGGGGACCTCCCCTGGGGACAGACTTGACAGATCGCGAGGGTGGGTTCGCCCGAGTCCGCTGCTAGCCGGCCTTCTTGGTACGCGGCCTTCTGTCTCTGCAGTGGGTTGGCGCTTTGGGGCCCTCTCCAGGCAGGGCTGCACACCCCACCCTTCCTCCAGAAAAGTTCCCCGCAAGACAAGTTACTTCTCAAAGTTGGGGAGGTGGAGGCGGTGCTTTTAATGTCTTTCCATCTTACAGAGATGGAGATAGGTCGCAGAGAAGTGAATTAAGGCGGGGGATTGAGTCACGGGAGAAATTTCCACCTGTGGGCTTGCACGTGCCACTCTGCCGCTCTGCAAACTCCTCCTTCAACTCTCTGTCCCCGCTCTTTCTAAGTATGCTTTAGTGAGTCCCCGGCCTGCAGTCGCCAGGCCGCTATTTCACAATTTACGGCAAAGAACCTGCCTCACTGTGTGCTCCCCGAGGGGAGGGCTTGCAAGATGCAGCCACAATCCAACTGAGGAGGATCCAGTCAGCTTTCTTTTAAAATTTCAGACTTCCCTGTGATTGTACTAAAATTTATTATAAAGTCAGGAAAATGGGCCCATCACAAGCTTTACGATCTCTCTCATTCTCCTTACTTTAAAGCCAACCATTACCCTAGCAAATGTGAAGCAACATGACTTCCTGCTGGGTTATCTCCATACCTACAAAGTCTCTGAATTGGGACCAAAAACTTAAAAATTTTAAAAATTGGCAGATGTAACCCCATCCACCTCCTCCTCCTAATTTAAGATGCATGAAGGTGTAGGAAGTTGGAGTCTTCAAGATATCCTTGGCTGTGGGTTTGGCACACCTGTCAGGACTAGACTGTTGCTAACAGTAAAAGACAAGGGCAAGTGTGGGAATCACGTTGGTTTGTTGTTTTAACAAACAATTGCAAAATCATCCAGCACAATCCTGAGTAGGTTGTGATGTGGTTTGTGCCTGGGATGAGCCACACTTCACTGATGCGCTGGTAGAATGTACCCAATGCTGTTATAACCTTCTCCACTGTGACTTGCATGTTCTACTTCCTAAATAAATGGCTTTACCTGTCCTTTGGGTCACTTTGAAGGGGCTTTCAGGCACAACGGGAAGTCATTCTACTGTGAGAGTCTGGCTCAAGTCACTTGCCAAGCCACCATGAAATCCCATGTTTTTAGGGGATTCTGTGCTTTCCCACCTAAAAATCATAGCACTGATTCCTGTCACGATGCTGGGCAGGAGAGGGTCATACCAGGTCAGAAACACTTCCTCTTCTGTGTGCATCCATCGCCCCTACCTTTGACACACAACTTCAGAGCTGGGAAGAACCTTGCAAATTACCTCTTCCAGTCTTCTTCTGTAACAGCCCGGGAAAATGAGCATAGGAAGACTAACTTTCTGAATGTTACCCAGCTGGTGACCTGTGCTCCGCTAGACCCTTCTCAGTGGGGCAGTCTGTCATTAGTCTGGTAGGAAAAATCAGGAGGGCAGTAATCATAACGCAGGCAGGAGCTCATTGCCATTTTGAATAGGCATGGACTCTCCTAGTAGGACACTAATTCTAGCCAAAGTTGCCCACGGGAACAACCTATCACTGCTTGCTTTGCTTGAAAGAAAACAAGGGCTGGGAGACCGCTGCCTCTGATTTTACTTCTTGCCTTAGAAAGGTTCCAGCTGATTTTATGTAAAATAGTTGTGCCGCCTCTTCCATGAAAACTTTGGCTTTGTCTTTGTAGAATCCTCAGTCCTTCAGAAATATTAATTTCTAAACTGACTGTTCTGCATACACTTTCCCCTCTTTTTTGGTTATTTAATTCCTGTTATAAAACTCAAGGGCTCGGCCGGGCGCGGTGGCTCAAGCCTGTAATCCCAGCACTTTGGGAGGCCGAGGCGGGCGGATCATGAGGTCAGGAGATTGAGACCATCCTGGCTAACACGGTGAAACCCCGTCTCTACTAAAAATACAAGAAAATTAGCCGGGCGAGGTGGCGGGCGCCTGTAGTCCCAGCTACTCGGGAGGCTGAGGCAGGAGAATGGCGTGAACCGGGGGGGGCGGAGCTTGCAGTGAGCCGAGATCGCGCCACTGCACTGCGCCTGGGGCACAGAACAAGACTCCGTCTCAAAAAAAAAAAAAAAAACTCAAGGGCTGCTATTGGTCTTACATTTAATTTAGTGCATTTTATTTTATTAGATTTCTGTGGCTTATTGTTACAGGACTTTGTATGAGATGTTGTGGAGACGTCCTGGTTAACTTTAAAGAACTCCTTGGGTTAGTTGACTGAGAATCATTGGCCTTGGTTAGCTGCTAAGACTTGTGGGAGGACCATTTGAAAGCACCTACTTCTCCAAGGTACACCAAGCAAACCTGATTTCTAGAAATGAAGGTGGACAATCTCTATAGTCAGATGTATCTGTTATTTCTCTGCAAAGCTCTCAGCCCTTTGCTTGACAAATGTTTGCTGTTACTTCGTTTCTTCTCTCACTCTGTCTCTCTCAAAGAAGATATAAATCAAACTGGCTGGGTAACCTTGGCCTTATAAAGCTTTTCAACTATTTCCAGTAAGAAAACAGTTGAGAAGTTTCTCTGAAGATAGTCTAAACAATTTCAGATTAAAAGAACTAAAAATACTTTAAAGCTACTCAAACGTTAATCTTAGCACAAGTGTTATTGTTGTGGCTACTCATATCTCATCAAATATTCAAAGAGTAATTTGTCCTGTGGTTATATTTTTCCTTTGTGGTTGGGGGAAGACATTGCATAAGCGTTTTCAAGATGTTAAATGCAAGCTGCTGGCTTTTTTCTAAATTAATTCCAATGCCTGGCGTAGACAGTTGTGTCAACCCAATGGCTCTACTTTTGTCCCCTGATCCTGTAATCATTTATTTTAAAAGTATCTACCTATATAAACTAGCTCACAAAAAGCGCTATCAACTGGGAATCTTTGGTTACCTTTGTAGTAACCAAAAAATTGCTCTGGGCTCACATTTGCCATCTTATCCTCCCTCTCCCAGCCATTCTGACCTCTTTGTAATAGCACTAATATCAAACCAAGAGAAAAAGATTATCAATGGCAGATTCTCCAGATTAACCCAGAGTCCTGTGGTGAGTTGGCCAAAAGGGAAACAAGCCAGTGGATTTTTCTTTAGTCTATATTTCTTTTATGTTCACTGTGAACTTCCTGGAAACAATGGGCTCTTGAAACATTTTGTATTTTCCTAAGTGAGAAAAATGATGTGTGGCCACTTCCGCAAAAGAAGTGGTAGGTCTTTGGAAGGGGATGGGGTCTTCCCCTTCGTCACTTATTCAGTTACTCTGAAGAGGGTAGGAGAGGGCATCGCCCAAACTGTCAAGGCCCCCCCCAGAAACTGAAAAACAGAAGTCAACTATTCATCTGCCTCTCCAGGCTAGCACAAGAGCTGGAGGGAGAGAGAGAGAGAGAGAGAGAGAGAGAGAGAGAGAGAGAGAATTGTTCTTTTAAGTATAAACTTGGCGATTGGTATCCTTAAGCTAACAGCAGTGCTTCTCAAGCCTGGATGGGCTTCAGAATTACCTATGGAAACGTCTAAGCCCACCATAGACCTCTTGGACCAGAACTGCATTTTAGAAACCTAGCATGGGAGAGACACAAAAGGTATTTCAGCTCTTGAAAAGATTTGCAATTTAACCATTAAAATCAATTCTAAATATTCTTATGCCTTATATCTGCTTTAATGCTGTATATCATTTTAACATTTAAGTAGATGGTAGGTTGAAGTCATTTTAAAGGAATAAGCTTTTAGAAGTAGATATTAGAATGATTAATTTAAACCTAATGCTATTAATCTTTTGTATATGTGGTCAGAAATGGGGAAAATGCCTTTAAAATTACAAATTAGCAAAAGAAAACAGATATTCTCCTATGCTTTCAAAAGTTCAGGAATGAAATAAAACCCTTTTAAAACCCTTTCAGAAAAATGCATTCTTGTGTTGAGATCAGAGTTTAAGATAGCAAATCATCGAAAGGAAAACTCCTTCCAGTTCATCACACACATTTTAATAAATGACTTAGATGCCAGAAATCACAATGGAAGAGATTTGGCAATCTTAAGTATGACTGTTCTCCTCTAATTCCTTAAATTTCCCAGTGAGGGAAATGCTAAAATTTAAGTTATTATTTATGTACAAAACATATTCAATACAACTTAGAACCGAAGATTACTCTGAATACATCCCAAATACATAGCATCATTCCTACCTTTATGGTAACAAGATCCCAAATCTAAATAGGAAAATGCATTTTAAAATGTTATATTGATTTCAACTTTACATATTTAAAAAAACCTGAAAGAAATCCCACAAAATGTTAACATTATATCTAGATTGTGCAACTATGGATTTGCACAATCTAAAACATTTTCTTCTTTATATTTTTCTGCTTTTTCAAATTTTCTATAATAAGCATTTATGACTTTGGGATTTGAAAAAAAATTTTTTTTCCCCTATATAACAATGTCCTCAATCAGACTAGTTGTCCACCTTGCTCAAAGTTTTATTTGATTATTGTTACCAAATAAAATTTTTGGAAAAGTGTAAGAGTTGTTTTCCAAG